CAAAAAGAAAATATATACCATTCTCCTGCTGTCTGAGCTGGAGTACTTCAGTGCTAAGCCAGGCTGTATACTACTCTGCCATTTCCCTCATCTCCTGCTTGTGCTGAACCCACATAGCTGCCAGAGATGCAATCCTAGGGTCTTCCTAGGTTTTTTCTGAGAATGTGTCCAGTCCAAGGCATATTGTACTCCCTTTTCCCTGGTATTTGCACTGGCCCTTCTAAGTCCTAATTTCCCAAGAAACTCCCACTTCACCCTCTTGTCAGCCTTTCAGTATGTCTCCTGGTTGTCCTGTCCAGAGCCTTTTGGCTGCTAGTATGTCTTTAATATTTTCACAAATGTCCAGAAAGCCACTCTAGCTGGATGGGGTAGGAATGTGAAATAAAGGCCAGCCTTTGTACTGGTCTCTCAGGGAACTGCCAGACAGGTCAAAACATACAACTGGAGTATTTTAAGAAGATCTGTATTAGCCCCTTGGTACCAGTAAGCTTCAACGAGAGTTGCAGGCTGCTGTCTCTATTCTCACTGAATTTCTGTAAGAAAATATAGTGGCATTTTGTTTACCTGGGCAGGTAAATGCCACTATGTTTTCTTACAGAAATTCAGTTGCCTTTTTCTTCATTAAGCACTCTCCTGGTTGTTTTAAGTTTTTGATTCCAGAGTTGATTCTGTCAGTTTTTGCCAGCTTATGATTGTTTCAGCAAGGGATCAATTTTTCGAGTACCCTGCTCCACTATTTTGTTACATCACTCCCAAGTTACAAGTTTTTACTGCAATGTGATAGGTTTTTGGTAAGTAAATTTGATACATTCTCTTATTGTGATTTATCACTGAAACTTTGCTTTTAGAAGTTTCTGAATTTAACTTATATACAAAATGGTAACAAAAAGAGCAGTTTATTTTTCAAATATTGTAGGAAGTAGAAATTTTAAATTGTTGAAAGAAATTGAGTAGAATGTTGGAGAAGATATATAGTATATTTGTATAGTTTAGAAACATTCCTGTTCGCTAAAAATTGTTTGTCACACATGTTTGACCTTGGAAAGGATGTCTGTTTCTGTAATAGATATTATTATATGACTCGGAACCACTCTGGAGATACTTATAACACTGGGAAGGTGGTCTTTTAGGTCACCCTCCTAGTAAGAGTAAGTAATCAGCTTCGGCTACTTAATGTTTTGTTGTTGGCTTTTTATAGTTCAGTGGCTTAAAAACAATGTGAGCTGCGAAATACTATTCACGTTAAAAAGGCTAAAGAGAAACAACTTTTGTTTCTTACTAAGTCAGATTTACAAAGACATATCTTTGTAATACATAGCAGTGAGACTGAATTAGTGTAGTTTTGTTTTTTAAACATTTTTACTGCTTGATGGAAAGGACTGTAGCAAAAGTAGATCCCTTTTTGAAATTTGGTTTAATAGTCATAGTAAATTATCTTAGAACTCCTTGTTAACCAAATAGTGACCTTTAGATTATTGGCAGCTTGATCAAGTTCAATCTGTATACTCAAATCAGGAAGTTAGCAATTTATGCAAGCATTTAACATGGGATAAAATTAATTTCATGTATCGTTTTCAACAATACATAACACTTGGTTGACTTGGCTTTGAGTGTTAATAAGTTAGAGTACATGAAGATTTTAAATTACATTTTTCTTTATTTGTATAAACACTGAGGAATCTTATTTTTTGAGACCAGAAGTAAGAAATTTTATCATCATCAGGCAGCTACAGGTGAATATTTTGGAAGATTGTTTTCTGGGGACAGAAATCCATTTCTGATTTGCTTTTTAATGATTTGCTTTTAATTCTAGACTTGAGAGGTGATTGCCTTAGCAGTATACTGTATGTTATACTGTTCTTTAGCTTAAGAACTTATTTGTAGCTGTGATTTGTTTCATATCAAACTAAATTTTTAAAAGTACTTTCTGCCTTTCAGGAAACCTTTGTGACTGACATTTGCTTTCTTTCTCCCTAATGTTTTATGGGAATAATAATCTTGTGAATTTTTCCAATCATTTTTATTGTATAGATGTTAAATATTCAGATTGTGGATTATATATTCATCTTGATTCTTATTTATATTCTGATTTTTGAACTGCTTTATAGTTTATTCACACCTCCACCAGAGTGCTTAAAGAAGAATAAAAGTGAAAATCAGTTTTCTTGTTCATTAACAGGTCTTCTGAGGGTTTAATACTTAAACTTTTGGCTAGGTGGTGTGGGGCTGGCTGATTCTTTGATTTCACTTTATCCTACCTTTCTCTCATGAATGCAATGAATATTTACTGTAATATCTCTTCTCAGATGAATTAAATTGTGAGTTAATTAAATTGTAATAGGCTTGCCTAATTTACTAAATTCCACCTTTTCTTTCCCTCCACTCCCTCAAAACTACTTCCTGTGAAAACTCTTGCAATCACTATTAAGAAAAAATAACTTGTGACTTAGAAAATATTCTTATTCAACAGATAGTTGAAATCTTTGCAGATTGGGACATTGTAAGATTTAGACAAATTTGATCATTTATATATTCTGATAATTAAGAGTTTTAGTTATCAATTTATAATGGTATAAAAAAAATAAGAGTCCTGAGTCTCTTATTCTTCCATATCAGCTTGCCTATTACACCAGACAAGAACTCTCTTAAGTGGCTGTTGTGCTGTTGTTCTGAGGCTGAAACCAAAGAGCTAGGTCATTGACAGAGCCATGAAACCATACTTTTCCTCTCGTTGAAAACAACAGATTAAAAAAAAATTCCTTCTCCCCATATTAATCACTTTATGTTAGTATTTATCTATATTTAAGATTTACATTGAAAGCAAAAGTCTTCGCAGGGAAAACATGAGTTTTAGCTCGCTTAGGGAAGGAATTCTGTAAATTTCTACAAGTATTTATTTTTAAATATTAGTGGGTCTTTTTCTAATTAAGATCTTGGAAAATGTGCAACTCTGTTGTAACAGGCATTAAAGATGAGCTTCCTAAATAAAATGAACCTTATATAAGTTGTAATTCAGAAAACACATAATTTTTTACATTTCATTGCTTTATGTATTATACCTGTCTTTTTCTATAAGTGGTTACATAATTAGGGAGGAGAAATAATTTGCAGATTGATCCTCTGAATAATTAAGAGGAATCTGGAGCTAAAATCTTTCAACATTGGAATTTTATCTGCATAGCTTTCTACCTCTATAACATATTGGTGAGTTACTTAACCTTTCAGTGTCTGTAAAACAGGGATAATAATAGTAACTTGTTAGTAGGAGTTGTTAGTAGGATTAAATGTGATAATTTAGCATAGGTATGTAGCATAGTGCCTAGCAGACTGTAAGCAATGACATGTCAGCCAGTTTTTTGTATTGGCATTGTCTTTGAAGAAAGACCTATTTTAAGACTTTTTTCTGACCTTGCTAGTAAATGTGTTAGTATGAAAAGTTAAACAGTCCAAGGTTCACATGGAAAGAAAAGTAAAAAAAAAAAAAAAAAAAAAGTTTGTTTAAAAAAGAAAAATTTAATTACCTTTGAACATGGCAGTTGTGTTTTAAATCTTTAGTTGGGTCGAGGTAATGAACCTGAATTTATTAACCAGCTTGTGTTTACATACACAATTATGTTAAATGCAAAATTGTTTAAAGTCTAAAGGACTTATTGATCTGTGTTTTAAAGAATAATTTTTGTAAGCTTATTTTGATACTAAAATGTATTCCATTGTCATAGTATCTAAAGTTTTGGGAAATGCTAGCGCTATTGTGTCTCTCTGGATAGTTATATGATATTTATTTTCATGCTGAATATTTTCAAACTTAACAATCTAATGTAAACTCTTATTTTTGCAGTTACATGTTTGCCTAACACACAAACACACCAAGCATGTTTCTGCCCCCAAGGTCTTTGTACTATTTGTTCTCTTTACATGGAATCCTCTCACAGAGCGCTCAGGTCTATTTTCCAACTTTTGGGGGATGTTCTCTTCTATCTAAAATGTGACTCTATCTTTATTATGTTTGTTGTTTTCCCCCTACCTGGCATTATATTATATACTTGTGCTTGTTTAAAATCACTTTCTCATTAGAATTATATCCAGGGGTAGAAACTTTGTTTTGTTCACTGCTGATTCTCCTACTGTATGTGATAAAGCACAGGGCCTGGCACATTGTAAGCTTTAACAAATATTTAAGTGAATGTAAAAATGGTGTTGATCAAATTAAAACAGTTTTGTTGTGGAGAGGAAGATTCTGTTAACCAGTTTTTAATAATCATTTTACATGATGTTATTTGAGGTTTTTATGCTCAGAAATAAACCATTTGAAAAGATGTTAATTTGTAACTTTTCACCCCCTCCAAAAAAAAAAAACCAAAAAACAGAAAAAGATTTAAATTTAGAACACAGGAGTGACGACTTCAGAGTTGATCCCTGTTGCAGAGTTGGAAGATACTATGGTAGTTACGATCTGCATGAAAACATCTGTATACATTTTTGATTCTTGCAAATTGTAATTTGGAATAATCGTAGGGATGTATAGCAAGAATAATTTTATGAAAATTGATTCCAAAATAAATGATTTCTAAGTAACATTTTTACTCTTTATTCATGTATCACTTTCAGTTATCGTTGGTGGTTTTAATCTGGCAAGCCACATTTCCAGAACTTTAGAGACTTGACAAAATTAGGAAATAATATTTTGTTATGAAAAGTTGAGTTTTCTCTAGATGAAGATTGAGCCTTAGCTAGTGTCAGATTTTCCCTAGTTGTATTTTAAATTTTAGGCTAATCTAGTCTCATGGTGCAACATTCTACTTTGCATATCTTAGTTTTTGTTGACTTAATTGTATGATTTTACTGATTCTAGTCTTTTGTCTTAGAGTGATGGTTTTGATACAAGATGTGGCTAATCAATGGAAAAGGGATATTTGAGGAAGAAGTGATGATGAACTATGAACTCTAAAGATGTTAAATGTAGCACAAATTTGCATCTGGAATTCTTTCTGTTTCCTAAGGCTGTGGATCTTTCCATTGATGAGTCCAGCTTGACAGGTGAGACAACGCCTTGTTCTAAAGTGACAGCTCCTCAGCCAGCTGCAACTAATGGAGATCTTGCATCAAGAAGTAACATTGCCTTTATGGGAACACTGGTCAGATGTGGCAAAGCAAAGGTAATTTTTTCTCTATTTTGAAAAAAGCAGTTTATTTGTTTTAAACTATTTTCTTAATTATTTTTTGCTAATTTTATGTGGACTTTTTCAAATACCTGACAAAGAAAAGATAAAATTGAACTTAACCCATTACATCTATTTGTGAAACTGGGGAGAATTTGTGTCCCTGAAGTATAATATTTCCATAGTTCTGCCATTTACCAGATAATGGAGAGTCCTTAATACCTCTTTCTTTTTAAAGAAAGAAACAGTGGTTTCATGGATATGTTTATTACTAGTTAAATAAGTTTTTAATTTAGTTGATACGATACTGGCTGTAGTATTCTGACTATATATTGTTCACCTACTGATCGATTTCACATAGTTCATTTCCTGGATTCTGATACTCCACCAATGCAAAAGACAACATTTACTATCATATAAGGGGTAAAACAAAACTATATTAAATGTCTCTATTGAGGATAATACAGATTTGGATTTGAAAAATACTAATATAGGCAAAAAATAGGCCTCAGAATTGAGTCAGCAGTACTTTTTGTTTTGTTTTTCTGAGACAGAGTCTCGCTCTGTCTCTTGGCTGGTGTACAGTGGTGCAATCTCAGCTCACTACAGCCTCCACCTCCTGGGTTTAAGTGATTCTCCTGCCTCAGCCTCCCATGTAGCTGGAATTGTAGGCACATGCCACCATACCTGGCTAATTTTTTGTATTTTTGGTAGAGTTGGTGTTTCACCATGTTGGCCAAGCTGATCTTGAACCCCTGACCTCAAGTGATCCACCCGCCTTGGACTCCCAAAGTGCTGGGATTACAGGTGTGAGCCACTGCACCCAGCCAACAATATGTTTAATGTAATATTTGTTTCCAGGGTTTGCATCATAAGGGACAAATGCTAATTAATGATGGTAACATAAAAAGTAAATTTGCTAAGGAAATCTTGGGGGTGTGCGCGCGCGCACGCGTGTGTGTGTGTGTGTGTGTGCACGCGTGTGAGAGAGAGAGAGTTTTGGTTTACATTCCATCTGAATGTAAATGTATTTTCCTGTTTTTCCCCTTAGGGTGTTGTAATTGGAACAGGAGAAAATTCTGAATTTGGGGAGGTTTTTAAAATGATGCAAGCAGAAGAGGTGAGTATTTCATATGTTAATGATATATTTGTTCCAAATCTGAAATTCTTCATTGTAAGTAGAGGATAATACTGGATTATTTTATATACTGTTGAGAGCAATATTTTATTCAGAATGGAAATCATTTGTCTTTGTTTAGATATATAGTTGGAAAGGCTGTAATTGAAAAGGTCTAAATTGATGGTTTTAGTATTATAAAGGATTTTGACCTTTACTCATTTGTTTATAGTGGAAAAAGGCTTGTAGCCACTTATTTATAGATCTTACTGTTTTCAGAAATTAGTGTTATGGTAATTTTAAGGATTAGTAATTAGAATATGTCTTCTTTCAAAGTTTTTCGGCTTCACATAATTCCAGGTAGGTGTAGCAGGGTAAAGATTGCCAGTAAAATAACCTATAAGATCTTCTTGGCTAAAAGTATTAAAGATGAGTTCTCTCATTTAAAGTGCTTTTTTATTATAAAAAGAAGTTGCATTCTGTGCATGTCATGCTCTCCCCAAATTATCTGGATTTCTCAGGTAACCTGCCAAAATTCCAGTATGTGATACAATGTGGGAATTCATTCCAAGAGGTGTGGCAGTGAAGGGATGAATAGAGAAGAGGGTTAGTGGGTCAGCAATCCTATGGGATTAAAAGACTCGGGTTAGTAGCATGTTTGTGGATACAGGAAGGGGAAAATTGGAAAAGTAAATGAGAGAGCAGCTGATGGTAATGAAGTCCTGCAGAGGTTGGTGGGGGGAGAACAGATTTTTCCTCAAAAGGAAGCATAGGGAAAATGGACCTTTCAAATAAACAGATTTTTAAAAATCGAGAATTTTTATTCCTTACTGTGTGAACTTGGGCATTGTGTAAAATCTGAGTCTCAGTTTTCTCAGGGAAGGTGATACTTACCTTCACTGGGAGAGTTGTATGGTTGACTTAGGAATTGCATTGTCAAGGACTTACCAAGTCCCTGGCACCTGATAAAGCTTAGTAAATATAGCTAATTGTGGTGACACTCTTCTTCAATTTATCAAGGCACCAAAAACCCCTCTGCAGAAGAGCATGGACCTCTTAGGAAAACAACTTTCCTTTTATTCTTTTGGTATAATAGGTAAGAGAAGAGTGAGTATGTATATATCTTTTAGTTTTCTTTTTTGAATGTGAAGGGTGGTGTTATTTTAGTTTTATTTGTTGGCCTTTTTTTTTTTTTTTAATTTAATACTTTTTAAAATTATAAGACTAACTCCTAGGCACTATTCATTTCGACAAAGACAAAAATAGAATTCTGTATAATTTTTGTAATTAGAAAATATTTCTTTAAGCATTTTAGTATTTGTCCTTATAGTCTTCAACAAAAATGTGGTACTATAGTTTTATGGACTGCTTTTCTATTTTTGTTTCACATATCCTGTCATAAAACTCTTGTCATTAAATTGATACATAAAACAAATGTAAAGGTTGTATAGTATTCCATTTTGTGGGAAAATATAATGAGACCTCTGTTAGACATTTATCTAGGTTTTTTTGATCATATAAATACTACTTCAGTGTGGGTATCTTCTTGTAAATACTTGTCTTTTTTAAGGAAAAGTTCTTAAAATAAAATTAGTCAAAGGGGATCCATGTAACTTTTAAATTTTTGGCCAACTTTAAGTGTTGTCATTAACTCCAACTGTAAATAAAAGAGTTCTCATTGTTTGATTTCCCAGTTCGTTATTAGGGAAACTGAATGCTTTGTCATGTGTGGGTTGTTTTTATTTTACTTTATGACCTGCCAATTTCTTTTGTACCTTTTCCTGTGTCTTAAATCTTAGATGGATAAAAAGCTTTTTATATGACTAGATTATCAGTCTTTTTGTTGTTTAAGTGTTTTTGCTTTTTCATTTAAGTTGCCTTTAGGGATGTAGAATAAACTTGATATGAAGGCAATATATGTATTTATTTATACCTAGTGTTCCATTATTGGAACACTAACCATGTTGGAGTTATTTGTATCCTACTGCTCAATGTCTGATTGCAAAAATACAAAAAATTGCAACCTCAGGCACAAGTGGGTTAAAGCACTCCCTTTTACTTGAGATTCTGTTAGCACCCTCCTATTGATAATCTCTGCAGTTAAGGTTGTTTTGTTCTGTTCCTAAAGATTTTCCCAACCTCATGGTTATGAAAACATTTATTAAAACATTGTTGGTTTTTTTATTTTTGACATTTTACTATTTAAAATTTATTTTAGGACTGGGCTTAAGGTAGAGTTTTAACTTTTTAATTCAAGTTAATTATCCTATTCTCTAATCCATTCTTTATTCATTGAGTTGAAATCATGTTTTTATCACACATTAAGCACTTGCATTAATTTTGGAGTCTTTTCTCCCTTAATTTTCTTACATGTTAATTATTGCAGCTAGTTTAGTATTTTAAGGTCAGTAATTCAATTTTTTTTTTTTTTTTTTTTTTTTTTGAGGTGGAGTCTGGCTCTTGTTGCTCAGGCTGGAGTGCAATGGTGCAATCCTGGTTGACCGCAACCTCTGCCTTCTGGGGTTCAAACAATTCCCCTGCCTCATCTTCCTGAATAGCTGGGATTACAGGCGCAAACCACCACACCCAGCTAATTTTTGTTTTTTTTGTATTTCTAATAGAGATGGGTTTCACCATGTTGGCCAGGCTGGCCTCAAACTCCTGACCTCAGGTGATTGCCCACCTTGGCCTCCCACAGTGCTGGGATTATAGGAGTAATGCAATTTTAAAACAATATTTCTGTTAATACAATATTAGTTGAAATAACTTCTTAAGTATTAATTTTGTTTATCCATCTATCTTTGTTGTAAACATAAAGTAGAAGGTGGGAAGATATTTTAGTTGTTTTTGTTTGACTGGTGTGTGTGACCTCATAACTACTTTAATTTGATTATTGCTGTTCATTTTCTATAAGTTTTACAGTGAATTTGATAAACTGAAGGGCATTCTAGCCAATTAAATCTTTGTAGTTTCTATTAGCACTATACCATAAAACCATTTCAAATTTAGTAATCAATGTTTCAACTTTATGATTATCTGGTTTTATGTTAGTGTATTACATTGGACATAATTTTTCTTGCCAAGGTCAAGAGCTAGATCAGGGTCAGGATTTTTTTTTTTTGTAAAGGACTAGATAGTAAATATATTAGTCCATATGGTCTCTGTTGGAAAAACTTAACTTTGCCATTAGCATGAAAGCAGTCATAGAAAATATGTAAATAAATGAGTGTGGCTATGTTCCAACAAACTCCATTTACAAGAACAGACAGGAGATCCGCAGATTATAGTTTGCTGACCCCTGGCATAATTCTTGAGATGTAATTTTTTTTTTTATCATGATAGTATTTCGGATCGGATCTTAGAAGGTTATTATTTGGATAATCTGTAGTTATCCAAAGGCAAAAAAAAAAAAAAATGTCGTAAATGTTCATATTGATTTACAATCTTGAGATTGCTTTGTTTTTTAAAACCTCTGATGCATCTGTATTTGTTTTTTCCTCACAAACCTGCTTGTGTGCTTCCCCCTATTCTTTTCAAAGATAAATAAAGCAAGGAGTATTGGTTTGTATGATTTGTAAACTTTTTAAATGCCATGAAAGTAGTAATTTTTAGATGTTAATGCAGTCGTAGGTGCTTAATGTAAGGTACATCACTTTTTGAGCCAAGTTCTAAGTGTTTCTTTGTATGTAGTACAGATTTACTGTGAAGTGTTTGGATATTGCGTTATGGAAAATAAAATTCTAGGGTTTTGCATATTTGATAGTAAATAGACGTATATGTTTGCTGCTGCCATCTTCTTTTTTTCATTGTATGAAAATACTGGTACTTTTTAAAAAAAATTATCAGATATTGTTCCTTAAGGATGGGTGGGAGCATTGTCAACCAAAGGTAAAACTGTGTGTGTGTGCATGCATGTGTGGTGTGTCTGTGTACACGTGTGTGTATGTGACTGTGCATAGCATTCACATTAAGCAGTGTTAACTTTAACCTCCCCAGTTTAATAGACTTTTATAAAATCTTGTAATTCTGATCTAATATGCCTTCCATTTTGTGTCTAGGGTCAACTTGTTCTCTTTTAGTTGATTTTACATAAAAGAGCAAAGTAACTATTTAATTCTGTTTCAGGAATCATCATGTTGGTTGGCTGGTTACTGGGAAAAGATATCCTGGAAATGTTTACTATTAGTGTAAGGTAAGTTCCAATACTTTATAATTGGAGTCTCTCCTGCTGCTTTTATTTCTTTCTCTAATGACATAGCTTACCTTTTATTATGAAAGTCAGTATTATATGGAGCCTATAAGAGTATAATATTTCTATGTAAATAGTTCTAAAGTCGTATATTAAAATTACCTCTAGAAAAATGAAAATGTATATATATGGTAATGAAGAAAACCCACACTAGATGTCTGGAATTACTAATGCGTTATGGCATTTTTATATGTAAATAGACAATTAAGGATTGTCGAATTGAAAACTAGCAGCATGAAAGAGAAAGTTCATAATATAGAAATTGAATAATCAATTTCAGAGGAAAGCATAACATTTAAGACATAGACAAATTTGAAAACAAAGTGAAAGAAACACATCCATGAGATGGATTGTTGAGAAAAGGATCAGAGAACAAAAAGAGTTTTTAGAAATTAAGACTATGATTGCTGAAATTAAAAATTCCATTTTAGGGTGTATTATAAACTCAAAGAGGTCTCCCCCCTAAAAGAGGAAAAAGTCTTAAACAGAATGAGAGAAAATGATAAGAATAATTTCAGGAAATACCATTTCTAACTAATTGGAGTTTCAAAAAGATGTAAGGAGAAATTACATAAGATATGACACACAAATATTTTCTTAAGCTAAGGCAAGAAGTAAGTCTTTATAGATTGAAGGTATTCACTAAATACCAAGCAGGATGGAAAAAACTTCAACCTTGTTACATAATTGTGAAACTAAAGAAAGAAAGGTCACCTACAAAGGAAGGGTAAGGGTAACTAGGCTGGCATCAGACTTCTCATTAGCAACTGCAATTTCTACCATAGGGTCTTCTTAGGTTCTTCTAAATATTCCAAGTCACAAGACTTTCCCAGACTGCATCTGATACCTGTGTCCTAAACGCAGCAGGGTGATTTCAGACAACCTTCTGCGAGTCTGCAGCAATTCATGTAGCAGTTCACTCAAGTACAAGGGGATAAGGTCAACCTTGTGAGTGTGGGATCTACTTTGGGTTAAAATGTCTTCTGTTCTATAAGAGACATATTTTGAAACGTGTTTCCAGATGCCTGCGAGGGACATGTCTAATTACAAGAGATACTACACTCGAGAAACTCAAAGCTATAACTTCCTATAAGATAATTATAACTGTCCTGGTTCAGAGAGATTTTATTAATCAGGGGATCCTTTAGTCATAGCAGTATTATCCAGAAGCATACTTGACATGCTATTCTTATGAGGTCACTAGGTGAATAGAACTAGAGTTAATCAAATTCAGAAGGGGAAAACTATTAACTCTTCATCCACAGCAACATCAGATTGCATTAGAATACAGTGGAGCAGTGGTACCAAATTATGTGGGAAATGATCATAAATTTGTAAATTAGGCCTAGACAAAGGATCATTCCAATCAGTTACAAATAGATAGGCAAGTACTCTTAACAATTCATTTCTTGCACATCCTTTTTTTGTTTTAAAATGAGTAAAATGTTCATTTAACAACTTTCTAACTATAGTTAGAAATTATACTTCTAACTAGAAGTACAAAAGAAGTTATATTTTTTCCACAGCTTTGTAGGTAATTATAATTTCCAAACTTTGAATATTTCATGTGATTTGATATGTCTGTACAGAAAGAGTAAGATGAAAACATTTAATAAGATTAGATCTAATTTGCAAAAAGTGATACCTGACATTTGTTGTGTGCTCTTGCAAAGAGTGCATAGGACATTTCCACAGCAATCAAAAAGGTAAAATATTTTTAAACTTAAATTTCAAGTTTCCTCTGCTGTTCCTTCTAATTCTAATACCTGGAAATATTTTCAGGTTTTGATTTCTAGATGTAATGTGTTTGTTATATATACACATATTTTATCCTTAAACATTTTTATTTTTAACCATTTAAACAATATGATCAGATTCAGCATGATGATATCGTCACAGACTCTGTAGAAGTCCTCTATGTAAGATTAACGTTGAGATTCCTAGTGCACCATTGTGAAAAACCAGTTAAAGATGGTATACAACTATGCTTTAGTGGGATTTCCTGTCAGTTTGGGATCATAACCATATAAGAAAGTAGCTGTTCTTACAAGGATGGCTCCAAGGAAAAAGACTGGTTGACACAAAACCTTGAAGCCAAAAATAGGAGATCAGTGTTAATAATATTATACATAAAGAGGTTGTAAATCCTTTTAAAATATTATCTGCATATTTAGTAACAGCAGCCATTACAAGGCCTTCAAGTGCCTGAAGAACAACTAGTATTCAGGTCAGTCGGTTATATCCCTGAAAAAATCCATTCTTTGATACCAGTTCTCCATCATAAATGTATACACCCATTAATCCAAATATACCTCCAAAGAAACCAAACTGAATGTTTCTTATCCACACCGATTGTTTAAGATTTTCTCAAAGTAAACCCCTGCAAAGCCGTTTGAGAAGCATGCTGTGAGAACAGCCATGAGCCCTACAAATTGAGAGCCAGCGCAAAGTTCTTAGAATCAAGCTGAGAATCTGAGGGCTACTGTACAATAGCAAGTCCTGCCATCAGAATTACTAGGGTTAGCCACTGGTATACACCCAGTTTTTTACTAAGCAGAGACAAAGAAAATAATGCTCTTGTACGAATTTTCAACTGATGTGTGACCAAGGGCAGCCTTTGCATTTCTTTAAATTCCTGTGGCTTCTTAAGTTCCAGGTGCTGGTCGAGTGGATCCGTGCCTACCACTCTTACCCAATCTTGTGTGAATTCCTGCAAAACACGGGTGAAAGAAAGAAAGATGATAATAGATATAACAAAGGGCAAGAACTTATTTAGGCATGTAAGGAAAAGAAATCCTGGTAGACATCTGTTGTAGGCGTAGGAAATAATATTTCATATATTAGAATAAAAATCAGTGTCTTACAAAAGGAAAAGTCAAATAGATTACAAGGAATCGGTGGAACAAATAAGTAAAAAGATATTTGTGATATAGTAAAGGAACGTATATTTTTTCCTCAAGGACGTGAAAGTGCAATTTGAAACTCTTGGTTTAAATTTGTGTTTAAAAAATCCATGGGTTAAATATAAAATAAAAATGGGGAATGAGTTTGAGATATTAAACATTGACATATTACCCATTGGATCAATTTTTAGTTTTTAAGGATTTGGTTTTTTTTTTGTTTTTTTTTTTAGTTCTGTTTATACAGACTGACGTATCATAACTTTTATTCTTTCTTCAAGGTCTTCCAAAAAACAAGAAACTTAAAAATTTTTAAATAGAATAAAATTCATTCTGTTTTGCAATTCTGTTTTGCAGTATGGGTCCACTGGACTCTTTTATAAATACAAGCTACATTATGGAACCTTAATGAACCTGTTTTTTCTCTTTCTTGAAGTATTTTATGGTATTTTCATCCTAGGAATTATTTTAACAATTACTTGCAAGAGTGCTAAAGACGACTAAAACAATAAGAAAGCAGAAAAATGATGGAATCATTGAGAGGGTTGATGTAATAATAAAATAAATTATCACTATTCTCTTACTCTTTAGTTTTCTTATTATGTTGCCCAAACTATTGCGTTATTTATGAAGGTGTGAAAGAAGTCCACAGTCACAGTCTCTAGATTTGTTCCTTGTAGTTTTCATTGAACAAAAGTGAGAATTGAGAATTTTTCACTTTCTACAATACTGGCAAAGAGAATAATTGACAGAGAATACTCATTGCAATTATTAGACAAATCAGAAGATCATTGCAAGGTACCAAATAGAAGCACTGTAGGCTATAATGATGTGGGTTGAAATTAATCATATAAGTGAAATTTCAAGACTATGAGTTTTTGGATGACGATAATCTAGATCTTCTCAAACTCCTTGATTTTGATGAGTGAGTAGTCTCTTTCTAAGGACAAAAAAAGAAACAGGTATTCTTTTCGGTTATTTTGCAGCAAGGACTCTATCATGTAGTAGTTTTCAAGCAACAATCTGGGCCATCTCTTTTTGCTAAACGAATGTATGACCCTATTTAATTCATCTTTTGTAATGCTTATTTACCAGCATTGACTTCATATTGCTTGTAAGTGGAGAAATGATGAAGGCTGGTATGAATATGAAGGTAATTAACAGGAAATAGATTATGCAGAAGTGGAAAAATTCATTGGATTCATCATTGTAATTGGTGTTTATAAATCTAAAATTGAAAATGTTTAGCAGTTATGGAACAAAGAAGATAACTTCTCTTTTCAAAACAATTGGGAGTCGTCATTGTTTTTAGAAATGTTACAATTTGACAGAACAAATGTAAGAAAGAAGAATTAGACTGATAAACTAGAGCCTGTTAGAAATATTTTCTTTAAATCTGAAATAAGTATTTATAAGATAAATACATTCCAAGTTCACCAGAGACAGTGAATAAGAAGTTCATTGCATTTTAAAGATGTTACTCATTTCAAGTATAGATACCTTGAAGTCCAGGAATAGTTTTGGGTTATCATTAAAATGAAAATTTAGAGTGAAGTTTTTACAATTTATTTATTCCTCTGTAAAGTTTTGCTAATATGACAAATATAAAAGATTGAAAAGATTGATTGCATCTAGATTGTAAATGATGATGCCTATTTTTCCTTAATGGAAGCATTTAAAAAAGGAAAAAAAATAGAAAAAAGAGGATGCCCTTTGAGCTAGGCACCTTCTCTTTGAGAATTCCAAAGGAGAAAAGGAAGTTTTAATGATAACATACTTTTTTCTTGACCCTTCAGTGTATACTCTTCAGCAGTAATATTGTTGCTCATTTGCTTTCAACTCTTCAGCAATAATATTGTTGCTTATTTGCTTTCAACTTTTAAAATCAACCAGTAAATCATGAAAAAGTCAATTACAGTAATTGAAAAGGATGCTAATGTACTAGATTATGCAAAGAAAAAGTTGATGGCCAGGCATGGTATGTCACACCTGTAATCCCAGCGCTTTGGGAGGCCAAGATGGATGGATCACGAGGTCAAGAGATTGAGACCATCTTGGCCAATAAGGTGAAATCCTGTCTCTACTAAAAATACAAAACTTAGTTGGGCATGGTGGCATGCGCCTGTAGTCCCAGCTACTTGGAGGCCAAGGGAGGAGAATCGCTTGAACCCGGGAGGCAGAGGGTGCAGTGAGCAGAGGTTGCATCACTGCACTCCAGCCTGGCTATAAAGTGAGACTTTGTCTCAAAAAAAAAAAAAAGAGAAAGTTGGTAATGAAAATTAGGAAGTAGAAGCAGCAGAGGGAACAGTGGTAGAATGAAGAGTAGGATTGCTTATTTGTAGCAGAGTCAAGAGATACTATTTGGAATGGCACAAAGAATGACTTGTTATTTTTTAATTATAAAAGGCAAGAGTGAAATAATTTTTTAAATTGTGATAAAATACACATATAAAACTTTTAGTTTTAAAGAGTTAATTTGGTGAAATTAGGTACGGTCACAGTATTTTACAACTGTTAACCACTGTCCAAATTCAGAACCTTTTCATCATGCCAAAAGAAAACCCTGTACACATGAAGCAGTCATTCCTCAGTTCTCCTCTTCCCCTAGTCCCTGGCAACTACTCACTAATCTGCTGTTTCTGTGGATTTGCCTATTCTGGATGTTTCATATAAATGGAATGATATAATATGGGACTTTTTATATCTGGCTTTTTTCACTTAGCATAATATTTTCAAGGTTTATTCATGTTGTAGATATATTAGTACTTCATTCCTTTTTGTAGCTAAAGTAATACTCTATTGCATGGATGTCACAATTTTACATTTATTAGCTGATGAATATTTGGCCTGTTTCCATCTTTTGGCTATTGTGAATAGTATTACTGTGAACATTCATGTACAAGTTTTTGTTTGAACATTTGTAGTTATTTGTATTTTATAGATGAGAACAGTAAACTACAGAGATGGATTAGTAAGTAGCCCAGGATCACACAAGTAAGAGATGGTGAAGCCAAGGGTACAAATCCAGGCAATTTGATGTCAGAACCTGTATTTTTAATCAGTGTGTTTAACCTGGCAGCCACCAGGTATCCTGTAAATGTTCATCAGCTTTCTCTTCCTTTTGAGAATTTTATTTTTTAGGTATTGACCATGTTAATTTTGCATTATATTAAGCTTTAAGTAATATCCAATTTAGATTGTTGCTGTTTAACCTACATTTTAATACTTTGTATGTATTGGTTACAGTTTGGCTGTAGCAGCGATTCCTGAAGGTCTCCCCATTGTGGTCACAGTGACGCTAGCTCTTGGTGTTATGAGAATGGTGAAGAAAAGGGCCATTGTGAAAAAACTGCCTATAGTTGAAACTCTGGGTAAGTCTGTGTTAAGAGCATTCCTATGCAATGATGTGTAAGTTTATGTCAATAGTAAACCATCTCAGAGTTTTACAGTTTTTGTCCTAGAGATTTGCATAATGATGTTTGGTTTATGGCAAAATTAGATATGGTTTTAACAACTGAAAAAGGCAATTAATAATTCCTATCCCTTAGGTGTGAGGACTTGAAATCTTTCTACATCATAGTGTTTTAATGCTTAAATCATGTTAAGAAAATCCATACAGTAACTGAAATTTTAGAGTAAATTAATGGAATATTTTTCTTGTGACATGTCAAAGAAGATAATGTATTATTATAGATCCCAAATGTTGTACTTGAGTTGAATTTGCCTGTAAGAACAGTAAATATATAGTAGTTACATTGCTATGACAAAACTTCATGTGCAGTGTGCTTTGAAACTCCAAAAATGTACTGAATTTGATTTCTAGTTTGTATTTTAATATCTTCTCCATATATGAGAAAGTGAAATACTTTGAAAAATCCTGACTGTAGAAATTATGTGGGTTTATATTTAGGAATTCTGCAAACTTTCTAGAAAAGGTATTATATAAAATCATTACATAAAGCTAATGTGAAGTAGCTTTGTAGAAACTAACTGTATATAAATAAATAAGAAAATGTCAACATCTAATTTTTATTTTTAATTTCAGAAACTGCACCTTATGCTGAAGCAGGCATAATGAGAGAAGTTAATCTAAAATTACCAATGAGTTTGATCTCTATAAAATTCAGAGAAGTAGGACAGGATTTTAGTCTTTGATTTGTTTTTTAAGTAAACCTATATTTCTCCTTGATTCTTTTGGTGACTTGTAATGATTTAATTCTTTAGGCTGCTGTAATGTGATTTGTTCAGATAAAACTGGGACACTGACGAAGAATGAAATGACTGTTACTCACATATTTACTTCAGATGGCCTGCATGCTGAGGTACTCTATAGGTTTTTAAAAATTAAAAAGCAAAAACAGTATGTCTTTAAGAAACATGATGTTTAACATTCCAAACAGTTCCAGTGTCTTACCTTCAAAAGGGCTGTAAATTAGTAGTGGAGTTATTTTTACTCTCTGTGATTCTACCAAGACTTTGTCTCATTCTGCTTGTACACTTGTTTAATCCAAAAACTTTGATTCTTCCTTCACATCTCTCTTTCAGTCACCTCTTCGTCCATCCATAATCACATCCTGCCAATTTTGACTTCTTAAATAATTTTCCCAGCCATCTACTTTATAGCCAGCTTCTTTAAGTTACTGTCATTTCTCACCTGCCATTTTGATAAAGCTTCTTGACTAGTCTTTATCCATTCTTGCTGCCCTCACTCCATAAGCAGCTTGAGAGATCCTTTTAGAACCAAATTTTAAGCATGTCACTCCATAAATTAAGGTACTCCAATGGTTTTCCTTGTGATCAGGATCCTGAACTGCGGCCCCTCAAAGCTGTACGTGTTCTGTCCCTTATTTTCCCCTCTATCCTTATATGCTACCCTTTGTTTTCTGTGCACCAAGTATACTGGCTTTATAGTTCTTTCCATGTGACAAAATTATTCCTACTTTAGGAACTTTGCTGCTTTTCTCACTGCTTAGGATAATCTAATGCCTCTTCATCCTTTGCACCATAATTCCAGGCCACCTCTTCAGAACACCTAGAAATGGCCCTATGTTATATGTTTTCTTAGCATTTTATATTTCTTAGGCCTTATCTTAGGTAAAATTTTCTGTCCCTTTTCCCCATTATAAGTTGTAAAAGAGCATGAACTATATTGCCTAGCACAGAGCCTGCTTCATAGTAATAAATACTTGATAAATGAATGAATGAATCATATTATTTTAGCAATTATATATTGATATGTTGACAGTCTTTTAAGTGCACATCACTGTACAGTAGTCTTCCTGAAGCTGGTTATGGACAAGTTCTAATCCTACTCAGTCTGTGCAGGATTTTTGACTGGAACGCCCTTAACACTGCTTATGTTGGGTACAGTAATTTAAAATGTGTTTATAGCTAATTCACTGAGAAAAGTAAGTGTTAGACAAATTGACAGAAGTTGCACTTGGGTTTATTTACGTCCATTTTACATAGGTTTTGAAAAGAGACGATATTTACCGTATTAGATTTGGTCAAAGATAACCCATCTATGGTGGTGACTGTGCCCTTTCTGAATGATTCAGGAGGGTTATTGGCATTATGTGTGCTTATATGTTCCAGGTATGGAAGGTAGAATATTAGTTTTTCTTTTGTTTTCAGGTCATGTTATATGTAATGCATTAACTGTTTGTTAATTGTTTTATCTCTAAATTGTATCATTAAACATTTTTTTTTAATTTTTATTTTTAATAGAGATGGGTCTTGCTTTGTTGTACAGGCTGGTCTTGAACTCCTGGGCTAAAGTGATTCCCCCACCCCAGTTTCCCAAAGTGCTAGGATTATATCTGTGAGCCACCACGCCTGGCCACTAAATTTATGTTTTTTACTGTGAAATTTCCTTTTGTTCAGCTTGGTTTGTTCTAGACATATGATATAAATATCTGGTTTGTCTCTGCCCTGATTTTTAAAATCGGTGTGTAATATGCTATGTTAAAGTAATTTGTAAGTGCTAGTGTGTATCTCAATGTCTCTAAGCCTGCATGTTTGCAAAAAGAAGACTGCTTTTGTCTAGGTCACATGTTTGTGTTATATGTTACATGTGGTAATGGATTTGAGTTCTTTTCAAACTGTAGTATGCTATATACATGTAATACCATATAAGTTTAAGCTTATGTATATTTTCATAGCTTAGTCTTTTAATAGTATATTGTAAATAGAAACCAATGTCTTTTTAATCATTGTGATGAGAATTAGAATCTATATTTCTCTACTAAATGTCCTTTTTTAAGACAAATTTTAATGCTTTTCTAAACACTTTAACAGTGTCAGTATAAATAAAATGAACAGAACTCATAATAGTTTTGGGGTTTTATAGGTCTTGTCACCACCTACTGTTTGTATTATTGATCCCACTTTATGATCTTTAGGTTACTGGAGTTGGCTATAATCAGTTTGGGGAAGTGATTGTTGATGGTGATGTTGTTCATGGATTCTACAACCCAGCTGTTAGCAGAATTGTTGAGGTAAATACTTTTTTTTTTTCCTCAAGAAGGTGACTTTCTTTATAATAACTTAAGACACAATAATAGGTTCATAATTTTATGTGTATTTTTCTTAGGCGGGCTGTGTGTGCAATGATGCTGTAATTAGAAACAATACTCTAATGGGGAAGCCAACAGAAGGGGCCTTAATTGCTCTTGCAATGAAGGTACGTACCTAAATCTCTTCTTTGACATATGAGACATTACCCTCACAACAGAACACAATGTCATCAATTTCAGTATTACTAGTTTTTAGGTATTGAGTGAAAAAAACTCATAATATTTCATTGTTTTTACTTTCTTTTGGGTACCAGTTTTATTCATATAAATATAAAGCATAGAGCTATTTCAGTATAACCTTATTGTTTATATGCAAGTTACAAACTAATGAGCAGTCATTGATTTCTTAGGAAGAAGTGTTCCCGTCTTCCATAATACTGACATCTACATGTGAAATACTTTATAAATGTGTAAATACTGATAAATACTAACTTTTGAGTGAATAAAAGGCAACATTCTTCAGTATTTCTATGGAAAGATAATAACACAGTCATGGGAAAATAGCTTTCTTTTCCCAGTCTTTCCTTTTTCTCCTTTGTTAAGTTCTCAAAATGATTGTAAAGTTATAATTTATTTTGGGGAGAAGTCTCAGTTAACTTTTCATCTGTCCCAGTCTGTCTTCTTATCCCCTAAGTCTTATATTTGGTTCAGTGAGAAACCTGTTAAGTTCAGCCTATCATTCGTAAGAAAAATAACTATTCCTGCTTTTAAGAATATTCAGGGAAAATCTTGATACTTGTGTAAAGCAAGAGGCTTCTAAGTGAGGTTACTTGAAATGAGAGACAGTATAGAATTACAGGTTATTATAACATAGTTAATGAAATAAAATTGATAGTTTTAGAATATATAGTTTCCTTGACCGAAAAGCAAATTTCTATCTCATTTTGTCTCATTACAACTAAAATAGCATAGTACTCAATAAATGAATCAGTTATCAAGTATTTCTTGTATTACGCTTACAAGATATTAGTTTCTTTGAGAGATAAAGAGTATGAAACCATCTTTTATGGGCAGAGACCTCATATTTTAGGTAGGGAATTTATAGTGACATTCTTGAAACAAAAGGCAGTTCAAGACAGCAGACAGTGAAATCTGAACATTGAGTCACATGTAAGAACAATGCAGATTCAGAGCTGGGATATGAGGGCTTGAAGGATAGGAAGGATTTAGATGAGGTAAGCTAGGGAATCAACTAAAGTAGAAGCAGAGAGGAATAAAAGAGCATAAAATGGATTGTGGCTAGTGAGTTGGCTAGCCTGGGTGAAATGAAAGATACTTGAGCGACCAGGAGGATTTTTATAGATGCTGTATGTGGTGGGTTTCTGGGGAACCTTATTTAAGGCCAAGAACAAGAGTCTGAACATGTTTCAATAGAAAATAGCAATACATGGTAGCATTTTGAGTGGTTTAAACAATTTTTGATATTTGGAAGATAATTTTTCGGCATTTTTGATATTTGGATGTTTGATTTGGGAAGATAATTTTTCGGCATTTTTGATATTTGGATGTTTGATATGGATGCAAAGGTTATTGGTAGGGAAAATAGCTGCATGACTAGTAGTATTCAGGACATAAAGTGGTAGAGGGCAAGGGACTAGGATGATAACAAGTGAGACATTGGAGACCCTAAGAAGTAAGAGATTTAATCTAAAACTTCTATTGATTATAAAAGTATATGCTCAAAATTGGTTGAGTACTTTTATTTATTTATGTCCTGCTTCCTTTCAGAATTTGAGCTGGTAGAGGGATTAATACAGTGGGTATGGGAGGTTTAGTTAGCGTACAGTCCCAGAAAACCTGCCTTAGACTATATCTACGTAACTTGGGCTTCCATGTTGAAAATGTATGCTGATATGTAGGGAAGTTTAGTATATATAGATGGAGCACTTATTCTTTCACCATTAACTGAAAAATAAACCAGCCAACCTGGCTACAAGTTGTGACCCTTGTTTTTTGTTAAAGGAGAAAATAATCACATATTGGTGAGAATTAACTTTCTTTTTGTGCCATATAGATGGGTCTTGATGGACTTCAACAAGATTACATCAGAAAAGCTGAATACCCTTTTAGCTCTGAGCAAAAGTGGATGGCTGTTAAATGTGTACACCGAACACAGCAGGTATCCATCTGTTTAAAGAATGCTTATATTCTGTTTAGTTTAGATGACTATTTTTTCATTTACTATCCACCTTTGCGTTTAAACAGTCATTGTACATAATAAAGACTTATTGCTTTAAAGTATGTGTAATTAGTAGTACACTCATCTCTTGTTTGTGTTATCTTTGATAGTCTTTCCTTGTAGATACATTCATGGAGTTGTTGCTGTCTGAGCAAACAGCTTAAATGAGTTGTATCCTGGTCTCCTAAAGCCTGTGACATCAGGTTTTTTTCTTATCAGGAACTGTTCTTCATGATAGTTCCTTATAAGATCTTTGCAGATTGTGTTTCAAAATGTGTTCTTTCACTGAATGTCTTATCTTCAGAAAAAACGAAACCACATTACTTTGTTGAAAAGTAGTTTGCAAATGTATGTAATTCATGTTGCTTACTCCAGTTTACAAGCTGACAAAATGATATACTGATATTTTAAATTGCCACCTTGTTCCTGGGTGCTTTAGACATTTTTTCAGTGTAATAAGATTTCTGAATTATCTATGGTATATAATTATATCACTCATAGTTGCTATTACCAGCTTGGTGCTTAAACTTTAAAAAACATTTAAGCTTAAGCTTAGGCACAGTGGCTCATGCCTATAAACCCAGCACTTTGGGAGGCCGAGGCCAGTGGATCACCTGAGGTCAGGAGTTTGAGACCAGCCTGACCAATATGGTGAAACCCCATCTCTACTAAAAATATAAACATTAGCCGGGTGTGGTGGTGTGAGCCTATAGTTCCAGCTACTTGGGAGGCTGAGGCAGGAGAATTGCTTGAACCTGGGAGGCAGAGGTTGCTGTGAGCCAAGGTTGTGCCACTGCACTCCAGCCTGGGCGACAGAGTGAGACTTTATCTCAATAATAATAATAATAATAATAATAATAATAATAATTATTGAACCTTAAACTTTTCCTCACTCTGTTGTCTAGGCTGAATGCAGTGATATGATCTCAGCTCACCACAACCTCAGCCTCCCAGGTGCAAGTGATCCTCCCACTTCAGCCTCCCAAGAAGCTGGGACTATAAATACATGCCACCATACCTGGCTAATTTTGCAAATTTTTTGCAGAGATGGGTGTCATTATGTTGCCCAGGCTGGTCTTAACCCCTAAACAGAGGTGATCCTCCTGCCTTGGGCTTCTAGAGTGTTGGGATTACAGGCATGGGCCACCACACCTGGCCTTATTTGTTATTTTAATAGTTCCTTGATAGTAATGACTGGTTATATGTTTTTTACCTATGAGCAAACACACAATTTTTGCACATGATACCTATGATTACATCTCTATAGAAAACAGGAATGAAAGGATCTCCCTTCATTCACATAAGTGGAAACATACTGGCTTTAAAAGAAAGGCCAGGTTGGTTAACACTGAACTTTGAGTAGAAGTCTTCCAGGAACTATGTTCATGAGGGCGAAAAAAAGATTTGTCTGTTCGTTAAAGGAACTTATACAAACTTAGGTGAAGGAAGACAATTGGAAAAGAAACTATGAAAATAAAATGCCTTTCACTTTAAACCTGTTAATGTAAAGCTTTCAAAAATTACATTAAGCTTAGGTAGTTTTCAGATGATGTCCCTTAACCATATAGTTATGTGGCAAGAATATGCATATAAGTATATGAATTTTTTTTTGATGGGTCTATTTTACTACATTTTGTAAACCATCACACAATACTTCAAGATAATGTAGCTCATGTAATATTTAATAATTTTCCTTTTCAGCAACTTTGAATGTTAACCTCACCAAAATTTTACATTGGAAGATTAAATCTTCTCAGTTGTGGGAGTGATGGATAGACAGTGGCAGGATATAAGTTTGGAAACATTTGATTATTCTTCTCATTTGCCAACCTGAAGAGTATCTTTTGCAAAACAAAACCAACCAATGAAATGAACAAACAAAACCCCAATCACAGATGTGACTTAGGATCTAGAAGAAGTCAGCCTGACACAGATAGGGGAAACTTACCAATTTAAAAGTGACTTCAGTGGCTCAAATAGTTTGCTTTTAAAGGACTGTCAGTTGAACTTGACAATATGTGTTTATCTCTTCTATCTCCTGGGAACCACCAAAATCACAAACAAGGAATAAAAGATACAAAGTCATCAAGAGAAAGTATAGGAAAGATTAAAAGGTGACAGGTACCTTTGAAGGCAGGGTGTAAGGCATAAGGCTAAAAATGGTAGAGAAGTTTGAAATTCTGAATAAGGAATCAACAGAACTCTCCCAAGTACCTTTGCTGCTGCTTTAGGTCAGATGGTTAGTCTTCCTTTACCCCTGTGGAACACCAGAAATCTGGGGATAAGAGTAGAGGACAGGATTAAGGCTTAAGACTGCAAACAGTGATTAAGAAGATGTCATTGTCCTGAAGGATAAAACCCTAGTCCTTAACACTTAGAATGCATCAAGGCTGGCATCTACCTACCTTCATTCCCTAAATAAGATTCAAGAGTTTTAGAAAAGCTGCCTGGTCTCATAAGGCAGCGGTCCCCAGCCTTTTTGGCACCAGGGACTGGTTTCCTGGAACGTTTCCACAGGCAGGGGATGGTTTTGGGATGACAGTGGTCCACCTCAGATCCTCAGGCATTAGATTCTTATAAGGAGCACACAAACTAGATCCCTTACATGTCATGTGAAGGTCCCAATAGGGTTCACACTCATAGCTATGAGAATCTAATGCCCTGGCTGACCTGACAGGATAGATGGAGCCCAGGCAGTAGTGCTCGCTTGCCTGCAGCTCACTTCTGCTGTGTGGCTGGGTTCCTAACATGCCACAGACTGTACTGGTCCACTGCCTTGGAGTTGGGGACACCTGTCATAAGGGGCACCTCTGAACTAAGCTCTTTGTTCATTGGAGTCACTTACCTACTCCTGGACTTCATCTCATCATCCTACAGCAAGGCTTTCCAGTTGATGCTTAGCTCTACCAGTGCCTATGGAGCTTCTAGAATTTTGATTGCTTCATTCTTAAATACAAATGAACAGGGAAGGATTACTAGATACTTGGAGAAAATCTTTAGTATGAAAGCCAAAGATTAAACCAACAGAGAAAGGGGTCTCGGAGAAAGGTAATGGCAGATGCTGAAGAAAATTTCCAAAAACCATTAAAAAAACAAAATACTTGGAATGTTTATCAAATAAAGTCAAGAAATGTATCAAAGTAGAACAGAAAGTCAAAGAGGTGTACAGTATAAAAGATAAGAAAATACAAAATAAATACAGAAGATCCAGTAATTACCACATAGTGGTAATAGGAAGGTAATAGGAATAGGTAATAGGAAGAAAGAACAGAAAATGAGAAGCTTTTATCAATGAATGCTGGAAAATATTCCAGAATGAAAAGACTGGCATCTAGAATAATGTGGTCCACCAGCTGCTCAGCACAATATGTGTGTTAAAGCGAGTAGAGTGGGGGATAAACACAAGACCCATAAATAAGAAAGTTGAGGACACTTGGAGAAAGAGAATTTGAAGAGCTTCTAGAGAGTTTTAAGCAAAGGGGAGATCATAAAAAGGGCTTAGGAACTAAAGTGTGGTAGTCTAACACTTAGCGCAGCAGAATACACTCCCAAGACTCCTAGTGGAAGCCTGAAACCATGAATAGTGTTGACCCTCATATATGTTATATTTTTCTGAACTGGTAACATAGATGGCTACCAAGTAATTAATGGGCATGAAGCATATATAGTGTGGATATTCTGGACAAAGAGATGATGTCCTGGGCTAGACAGAGTGGCATTTCATTACCATACTTAGAATGCTGGATAATTGGAAACTTATGAATTATTTCATTTTGGAATTTTCTATTTAATATTTTTGGACTGCTGCTAGGTAACAGAATCTGCAGGAAATGAAACCCTGGATAAGGGGGCACTACTATAATTTCTTTATACTTTTCAATGAAAACATTGACACTGGAGGCTGGAAGATAATAGAGCAAAGCCTTCAAAATGAGAGGAAATTTATCCCTGGCTAAACTTACAAACGTGAGGGTAGAAGAGAAATGTGTCCCAACACCACCCACCCTCTCTTAGAAAGATATTGGTGGATAAAAAAACAAAAGGAAGACTTAAAATTTGGTGAGGATAGAGGTAGAGGGATGTTCCTAGATACTGGTGGTGTAGCAGGCCTAGAAATCAGCCAATTAGAAATGTAAAGAAGAGCGAAGGAGAGCAGTCTCCAGTAATAATATAGAGGTAATATCTTATCTGCTTCTTTGTTCATGTGAAAAAATACCATCAGGAGGGTTTTATATTACATTGAAGAGTTTAGTAAGAATGAATAATAGGTATAAAGAAAACAAAGCAAAAATTTTTAAAAGGTGGTTATCAACTTTATAAAAGACAAAACTTGAGCAGGAAAAGAAGTACCCTATTTGAGGTATCAATCAGGATAAGCCATGAAAACATCATGCTCTCTTCCTGCCTCCCTCTCCCCAAATACTGTTCATTGTAGTTACTTGGGAACTCAGGCAGATGGAAGCTCCATATTAATGTGAGCACACAGTGTCACAGCAAGGGTAGAAAAATAGGAAATAGTACACTGGCACCTACATTTCCATTTGGAATTGACACAAGTACTCATGTTTGTTGGCCAAAGCAAGTCATGCCTGACTTTCGGAGTGAGAAAGGCAATAGGGAAATACATTCCTACCTGCAAGGAGAACTGGGATATTACCAGTCATTACCACACTTGGCTTGGCAACAAGGAGTCTTGATGTAAACAAAATAATGGCAGATTTTGCTTTATATCATAAAGATGGGTAGGGGGGAATAGTTAGAATGGCAAAATTAGTATCTGTCACAGTAGACAATGTATAAAATTGATAACTGAAGGAGTAGCAATATTAACATGTTAAAAACATGAGGGTAAATATCAGAGATAACAGCTATTTTGCTTCCATGGAGTAGGACTAGTGGTGAGAAGGGCTGGATAGGAAACTCCAGTATTTAATTATAAGCTTTTGAATATTATTTACCATGATAAAAAATAAAAGTCTGATTACAGACTTTTTACACCCATAATTACAAGGTGATTGGGAAAATTAAATGGGATTCTAAGTAGATAGAGAGATATAGATGTATTTATTAGCTAATAGAGAACTTGAACTAGAGCTGTTATCTCTCTTTCATTTCCTGTTATGTTGCAGCGAGCCTCCTTCCACATTTCAGAGTGCCTAATTTAGAGGCTTAGTATAGCATTCATTGCCTTTAATGTGTGGGATGGTGGGGATAGATTTTTTCTGTAGAAGATACAGAAAGCTCCCATATAGGACTATTTAATCTTCAGAGTTCAAGTGCCAAAGCTTTAGGCTTGAGTAACTTCTCTGGAAATTGTGAGAAATGAATGCCATTTAATTTTGGACTCCAGTGGGAGATATGTACAAGTTGAAATTAAACTTGTATTTGGTACATTTTCTTCTTAGGACAGACCAGAGATTTGTTTTATGAAAGGTGCTTACGAACAGGTAATTAAGTACTGTACTACATACCAAAGCAAAGGGCAGACCTTGACACTTACTCAGCAGCAGAGAGATGTGTACCAACAAGAGAAGGCACGCATGGGCTCAGCGGGACTCAGAGGTAAGGCTGTTTCTGCATAGTCCCCTGGGGTGGAAAGGTAGCGTCTTCTTTTAATTGCAGATGAATTCATGCTTCACATCTGAGTTGTCCAGCTCTCTTCCAGGCTTTGTAGAACCCTTGCTAGTATTGAGGTGTTACATTTTAGTTGGCTAATTGGCCACTAAAAGATACTTGAAAATATAGCAAAATGTGAATCATTCGTTCTTTTAGATCTCCAGAGGTCTCTGATTAGCCGATAGAAATTTTATTTTGAACAAGTTTATCTTGTGAGAAAAGAAATGGATCAAGGTAAAATGATGTTACTCTCTTTTCATCACTTTGTCTTATTTATTATTACTAAAATACTTTTCTAAAAATTGAGTCTGAAGCCACTAATAAATCCTTTAAGGTGTTGCTAACTTGATAGGTTACTATTCACCAGGGAGGTAAACAAATCCCCAGGTACTGCTTACGTATATGCTGCTGACTGAGCAGTGATGGGGAGAGGGTCTGCTGAACACACACACATCAGGCCACCTTTCCTAGGGATGTCGTGTGTAAGACATGGGGGTTGATGGTTGGTGTCCTAACCTGATTCTTACCTTCTGGATAGTCATCTGGCCTCTGTGGAATATATGTGGTTATGTTGTCTCTCAGGGCAATTGGAAGAGTTGTCTTCTCTAATTTTATCATTTTAATGAAATAGAAGTGTAAGCACTACAATTTCTGGGAGGAAGAAAAACAAGTTAGGTGAAAAATGTTTTCATTTGTGGTTCACTTAAGCAGAGGTTTTTTTTTTTTTTTTTTTTTTTTTTTTTTGAGTTTTAAACATTTGGATAGATTTATAGGACTTGTGTTCTTAAAATAAACTAAGTTTGGAAAGGTACTCGTACCAGCAGAGAACACTGCCCCCAGCCTGCTACTATTGCTTTATGCCCTTGCCTCTGAACCTTCTGTGCCAGCCCCCAGGCTGCTGAACCAAGATCACTTGTCATACCCCTGAGCTTGGTGCATCTCATCTGCGATAAGGGCTGTATTGTGACCATCTTAACACTTCATCTCCTGTCTCCAAGGAAATGGGAGGCAGAGACTTCTGGCTGAAAAGTTATTTTGGAAATGGATATTTTGGATGGAAAAGAATTTAAAGGAAAACAACTTTTCCTTCCCCCTTTCCTCTTTTAATGTAAGAGGCTTTGATGGCAGGTTCTAGAGTTTCTGGGGTTTTATCCCAAAGGCCTGAATCTGGAAAGTACTCTGGATCCTCAGTCCTCAAGCTTTCTGGATCCCTGAAGCCAAGGCTCTTTCTCCTAGCCACAATTCTGGGGCAGGAACCTATTTTCTGGTTTTGCTTGGCCAGACCTAAGAATAGCAGGATCTCTGAAACCACAGGGTTTTGATATGTTTTTATCAAGCCAAATGTAAATATCCTAACTGACATTCTGGAGAATTGAGCACAGGGGGTACTCTTGTACTTTGTACCCCCAACCCTTCTGAACAATCGGCAGACCAAACTTTTTGGTGGCCCAGCTGCTGGAAGCTCAGATACTCTGGCTCAGGGTAACACTTTTGCTCCCCTTAATGCTCCTCAATTTTCCACTTCAACAAGGGAAAGAGAATGACAGTTAAGGCTTGGCCCAGGATTAGAATCATTAGAGCAAATTACAATCATTGGAGACTTAAGAGGCACTGCAGGGAGGCCTTGCAGCCACAAAATAGGGTTTTGATTACTAAAGCCTGTGTATGAAGGGGCAATGGCAGCTCCACTGAGCCATTCCTGGGCCTGTTATTCCCCTGATTTACCTCCTTCTTGATTGCTGACATCTGGGGCTTTGACCCTTTTTAAATTTACTTTTGCTAAGATGTACTTATTTATTTGTTTATGAGACTGAGTCTTGCTCTGTCACCCAGGCTGGAGTGAAGTGGCATGATTTCAGCTCACTGCAACCTCTGCCTCCCAGATTCAAACAATTCTCCTGCCTCAGCCTCCCGAGTAGCTGGGGTTACAGGTGTGTGCCCCCATGCCCAGCTAATTTTTTGTATTTTTAGTAGAGATGGGGTTTCACTATGCTGGCCAGGCTGGTCTTGAACCCCTGACCTCTGATCCACCCACCTCAGCCTCCCCAAGTGTTGGGATTACAGGGGTGAGCCACAGTGCCCAGCCTATTTATTTTTTTAAAAAGACTGTTGGTGGACAAAATGTAAACCCATTTCCCTCCTCTTTTGAACTCCTGGGATGTCATCACTTCCAGTTTGTTGGCTTTTTATCCAGCTGTTAATAAAGCATTAAAACTGGAGAAAAAAAGGTAGGGAAGTGAGAGAGGGGCAGAGTTTTGCTACTCTTAGCAACACATAGCAAGAGGTTTTAAAGTTGGTGTGGATTTAGAGGACTTGAAGAGGTCTCTGGTATATGCTCTCTCTTTTTCTTAATTTCTGGAACAAAGTTTTCATACCTCATTGTATTGACTCTTCATACAAAAGATTGTGGAGGTTTGTGTATGTGTGTTTTGTATTGTAACATGAAGTAGACTAGAGTTGATAGAGGGGAAAGTTTCTGTTGCACAGGGTTTTGGGAAACATTCTGCTCATTTGTCTCTTGCTTCATGTCTTGTCTTCTTTTTCTACTTGTGCTCCACTTTCCTCCTCCCCGTGAGATTACCATATGAAGAACAGAAAGATTTTAAACTTCAGTTGATATGTACTTATGTTACATTCTATAAAACTTAAATTTCTTAAAATATTTGTGGCTCTTAATTTTGATATTAGAGTATATTTTGTTTTATGTCAGGGGCTCTCCACATGAAAAAAGTTTACCTATCCTCGACTCAGAGAGTAGCAGCAGATTTCCATTGGTGCTAAAGAAGCAAATAAATACAGGATACTAACCTCTAAGCGAGTGCCACCCCTCCATTAGGAGTACACAGAGCTGATCTTTCTGTCTTAGGATTTGCTGACCTACATTTTTGTCACTGTCCCCTTCTTTTACCTTCTGTATCCCAACACCGAACTGTGAAGTGGCTCATTCTCAAGGGTGAAAGCCTTTGGGACCCACATCTACATAAATCATTAGGTATATGAGTCTTACATTGGAAAAATAAAATTATTTGCCTTTAACCTTGATTTTTTCAAGTATGTCTAATCTTTCATACCTTCTACTTGAACAAGAATAGATACTTTCTTTGGTCTCCCTGGGGCTTTTCAGTTTCCCCTTAGCTAATTTATGTTTAGTTTATATGTGTATGTTGTAAGTTGTTCAGACTAATAATATCTGAGATGCAGGTACATCCCTTTGGTTAATAAAAGTACTTACTGGAGTTCCATACTTCTGAGAGCAAGTTAAATGATATTTGGGAAATGGAAAGTACCTTGTACTGTATCTTGCCCAAGGATGATACATAGAAATGATAATATGATGGTATTATTTACATACTTTTAGAGAACCAAAGTTACAAATAAGAAATGTCTGTTCATGTTATGGAAAGAGTAAAAGAATCCAAACTATTGTTGGTATTAATGGTTTTACAACTGCTTTCCAAATTAAATTTACCTTCCAGGAGTTTTGGGTACAAAATTGTTACAGGCTGTGTATAATTAATTAATATAGCCTTCTATTCAGAGTGTTGAATTTTTCTTGAGATCTTAGAAATGGAAAGATGAAGATGCATTAGAAGTCACCTTCGAAGGTGTTTGTCTGTTTAAAATTGACTTTAAAGCTTGACAAACTCAGTTTCTCTAAATCTGTTTTCTAAAGAGGCAGTAGATCCTGTTGAAAGTAGCTGCATGTGGTTACTATGTGAATATACTGTTCATTTTCCGTCTCTCACCTATCCTGCCCTTCAGTTCTTTAGTTTTACTCTTTTTAATTAAAACAGCTTAAAGGGACCCCATATCCAGAACCATTAAACTATAATGTTTTGGTCTGTAGTCATTTTGATTTTTAAAGATTGTAGAATAACTACAAATGACCTTATAGTCTTAAGTATTTATTTAGGAAGTGTTACTGTCTCCAATTTCTGTCAACTAAATTCTAATGTTTTTATGACTCACTTTTTTTTGTTGTTGTTATTATTTCTTAAGTTCTTGCTTTGGCTTCTGGTCCTGAACTGGGACAGCTGACATTTCTTGGCTTGGTGGGAATCATTGATCCACCTAGAACTGGTGTAAAAGAAGCTGTTACAACACTCATTGCCTCAGGAGTATCAATAAAAATGATTACTGGAGATTCACAGGAGACTGCAGTTGCAATCGGTATAACTAAACTGCTTCCTTTTGTTTTCGATAGTTTTTCTAAAATACTTCAGTGCATAATTTTGTGAACTATTAGATGTTAATATGTTTATGTAAAATTGAGATTATATAATTGAAATCAACTCATGTTTTTGCTCTTGGTCTATATAAAGCTGTTGGCAAAATTGATTATAGTTTAAAAAGTAGTAACATTGACAGACATAACTAAATCATTATGAAATCACATATGCTTTATTCACAGAAGGGTAATTATTTTAACTTCATGATCACTGTGATGACATAAAAGCATTAGGTCATATTGCGAAGGGAAACATGAAACTTAGTTTTTCCTTTCAACTTAAGTATAATTTCAAAGCAATCTTGTGCATAATTTAGAAGAAAATAGCTTGTGATATATATTTGTTTTTCATCATATAGACCTATGTTTGAATACTTTTTAATTTTATTTATTTATTTTTTTGAGTTGAAGTCTCACTCTGTTGCCCAAGCTGGAGTGCATTGGCACGATCTTGGCTCATGGCAACCTATACCTCCCGGGTTCAAGCGATTATCCTGCCTCAGCCTCTCGAGTAGCTGGGACTACAGGCACACGCCACTGTGCCTGGCTAATTTTTGTATTTTTAGTAGAAACGGGTTTCACTATTTGACCAGGCTGGGCTTGAACTCCTGACCTCGTGATCCGCCCACCTCATCCCCTCAGTATGCTGGGATTACAGGTGTGAGCCACCATGCCCAGATATTTGAATGCTATTTAAGAGTACCTTAAGAAGTAAAGTAAGAGAGAAAAAGAGAATGAAAGTTAATTTTCCAGAGCCTCTAAACCATAATTCATGCTGATAAATATAATAGCTGGCTAAACTCCATTAATTCTTATTTTATTTGGAGAGAGGCTAGGCCAGGAGTTTGAAACTTCATATTGTCTAAGAATAGGTCACTAGACACATGATATTACTGGAAAAATAACTTTTCAATGTTTATTTTCATTTATGTATAACTACATGATTACCAAAGATCCACCACCATTTTGTCTGCATTCTTAAAATGCACTCTGATCTTCGTTACGTTTGAGCTGCTGAGCAGAACCTGATTGGCCTAGTTTCAATTCTTAGGTATGCTGGCTTAAATAATGAATTTTGTTGTTGTTGTTGTTGTTGAGAGAGAGGATCTTGCTATATTTTCCAGGTTGGTCTTGAACTCCTGGGCTCAAGCGATCCTCCAGTCCCAAAGTGCTGGGATTACAAGCCTGAGCCACCGTGGCCAGCATTGAAAATTCTTTATTCTTAAATTTAAACAAAAATAAAAATCAAGTGTAAAACCCCACGCTTAATACTGATTCAGGTAGGGTTGTATTACTAGTAGTTAAAAGAAGAGAATAGATAACAAATCATACTAAATGAGAATTATGTTGACTAGCCTATCAAGCAAAGCAATTGGTTTATTACCTTTTCTCTCTCATTCACTTTAGCCAGTCGTCTGGGATTGTATTCCAAAACTTCCCAGTCAGTCTCAGGAGAAGAAATAGATGCAATGGATGTCCAGCAGCTTTCACAAATAGTACCAAAGGTAGGCCTAAACTAAAGCCTTTTAGACTGAAAGGGCTCATTCCAAGTGTTACCGTTTCTACTATTATCTTAATGAACCTGTTTAATTGTGAGCATCACCACCAGATTTGTTGGTTCAAATCCTGAAATGAAGTCTTGTCATTAAAATAATCTTATTTATGCTGTGATGTTTATTAATATCAGCACAAAATTATTAACTTTAGGTACTGTGGAAATTAACAGTGCTTATATTTATAAATTAGAGGATGGAGAGAGGTCATTATACTTCTTACTGCTTTTGTTCTGTTTTAATTTTAACATGAGTGTGTAATTTTTTTTGAAGTACAATTTACATATAGCAAAATTCACCCATTTTACTGTATAGTTCTGAGCACTGACAGATGCATGCAGTCTTGTAACTGCCACCACAGTCAAGATACAGAACAGTTCCATCATCCCCCCAAATTATCTTATGTCTTTTTGTGGTTACCTGCAGGACTTGGCAGCCACTAATTCGTTTTTTGTCTCTGTCACTTTACCTTTTCTAGAATGCACTAAAAATTGAATTATACCATATGAATGAGGCTTTTGAATCTTCTTCTTTCACTTAGCATTTGAGATTTGTACCATATGAATGAGGCTTTTGAATCTGCTTCTTTCACTTAGCATTTGAGATGCATTTGAGATTTATCCATGTTGGTTATGTGTATTAGTAGTTTGTTGTTTTTTAAAGTAATATTCTACTATATGGGTGTACCTTACCTATTCACCAGTTTAAGGACATTTGGATTGTTTCCAGTTTTTGATTATTATGAATTAAGCTACTGTCTACATTTGTGCACAGGTTTTTGCATGAAAATAAATTTTCATTTCTCTTGGGTAAATAAATACCTGTGAGTAATTGCTGAGTCATATACTTAATGTATATTTAATTTCATAAGAAACTGGCAAGTTGTTTTACAAGATGGCTTTATTATTCTGCATCTCCATGAGCAGTGCCTGAAATTTCTAATATTCTTGCATCCTTCCTAGCACAAGGGATTGTCATCGCCCTCATCCCCCCATTCCAATAAGTCTTCAATGATATCTTACTGTGATTTTAATGTGCATTTCCTCACAACTAGTGATGTTGAATATCTTTTCATATACTTATTTGCCATCCATATAGCTTCTTTAGTGAAGTGTCTGCCCTGCCTATTTTTTTTAAATTATGTTTTCTGATTATTGAATTTTGACAGTTCTTTATATAATGTGGATACAAGTCCTTTATTAGATGTTTTCTTTGAAAATGTTTCTTTCCAGTTGGTAGCATGTCTTTTTATTCTCTTAATGTTACATTTCTAAGAGGGGAAGTTTTAAATTTTGATTAGGTCTAGTTTTTCAATTTCTTTTATGGACTATGCTTTTGATACCTAAAAACTCCCTGCCTAACCCAGGTTCACAAAGATTTTCTTCCTTGTTTTCTTTCTTTTTTTTTTTTTTTTTTTTTTAAGACCGGGTTTCACCATGTTGGTCAGGCTGGTGTTGAACTCCCGACCTCAGGTGATTCACCCGCCTTGGCCTCCAAACCTTGTTGTCTTATAGTTTTAGGTTTTACACTTGGGTCTGTGATCCGTTTGAGTGTATTTTTGTATATGTTGTAATGGGTTAAGGTTTATTTCTTTGCATATAGATGTTCAATTATTCCAGCAACATTTGTTGAAAAGATAACCTTTTTCCATTGAAATACTTTTTTACTTTTGATTATAATGCTTTTCTAACAAATTATTTGTAGGAAGAGAGGTGTCACCTGCCCCACAGCTGAGTAGCTTCTTTAGAGCCAGGTTCCCTGATATGAGATTAACTTACTGTCTTGGGCTGCTTTGTAAGGGGCTATCGATGAAGCCTGATTTGTGGGGACACAGGTCCCATAGGAAGTACCTCATAAGAGGTGGGCAGCAGTCTTCCAAGTTGCTGACAGTTCAGATTTCTTGGTTTCATTGTTAGTTAACTTAATATAGGCACATCTATTTGTATGTCCTTCAAAACAAGCACTCATCTGGAATTTATTTTATTAGCTATTTTGTAGCCATCCATTGTTACTAAAAATGTGCTACCTCCTTCTTCACCTCATTTATTTTACACTTACAACTTCAAGTTATGTATGCAGAATATGGAATTTTCTTAAATTATTTCTGCATCTTAAGGCATGTCTATACTTTTTTGATTAGAAAATTTATCCATTAGTAGTATATGTTCAACATAGAAAAATAATATAGGAAAGTAAATATAATATAGAAAAGCTACAGTAGAAGTTGTCTGTAATCTAATCCACACTCAGGTTATACATCCACAGAGTATCCAAGATTTACCATTAGGACTTATGTGTATAAGAAAACTTCGTTGCTACTTATAGTGTTATAATTCTGAACATTCATTTTACATAACTTTGGCACTTCTGAAATCATTAATTATTATTAAAAAATGTGTTTTGAATTGCTGTACAGTATTTTAAGTATACCACCTGTATGCATGTATAAATGCACAGCATATATTTATATTTCCATAACCATTTTCCTGTTGAAATTTGAGTTTCTGCTTTTTTTTTTTTTTTTTTTACTACTGTAAATGTTCTTTTAAGGATGACAGTGCAACCATTTACTATCTGCCAATGCTAATATTGCCCACATGATCTAATTTACTTCTTGTAGCTACCTTATAAAAGATAGGCAGCACTGCTTTAAAAATTCTAATAATTAATAAATTTTATTTTTTAGCAGTATTAGATTTATAGAATAATTGAGCAGATAATACAGAATTCTGCATTCCTACCCTATCTCTACCCTGTACTCCTGCACAGTTTCCCTTCATATTAATAGACTGCATTAGTGTAGTACATTTATTGCAGTTAATAAGCTAATATTGATACATTCTTATTTCATGGTTTACATTAAGTTTTACTTTTTGTGTTGTACTTTTCTAAGGGGTTTGACAAACATATATCCACCATTAAAATTTCATACAGAGTAGTTTCATTGCCCTTAAAAATCCCTGTGTTCGACGTTTCCATCTCTTCCCAACTCCCCTCGAATCCTTGACAACCACTGATCTTTTTACTGTCTCTATAATTTTGCCTTTTCCAGACTGTGTATAGTTGGAAGAATATCATATGTAGCCTTCTCAGACTGGCTATATGCATTTGCGGTTCTAGCATGTCTTTTCGTGCCTTAGCTGCTCTGAACATTCATATACAGGTTTTTGTCTAGACATAAGTTTTCATCTCATTTGGGTAAATACCAAGGAGCACAATTGCTGGATCAGATCATATGATAAGGGCATATTTAGTGTTTTAAGAAACTTGGGCAGTCCATTTTTATAGATGAGTGAATTGAGGCCCAGATTACTTGGGACACCTGGCTGATGTCTCAGAGCTGGTAAGTGGTGGTGTTGGCATTGGGACTAGAATCCAGGTCTGTATGCTCTAGAGTTCATCTGTTTGCTGTTTCTTTTAATATTATTGAACCTAAGATGTGTACTCATCTGTGATGATGATGATGATGATGATGATGGTGATGATGATTTTTACCACTGCCTTTACCCATATACATCTCTCATTATTTTTATACACTAAATTCCTACACGTGAAATGATTGGACCAATGTTCAGCACATTTGTAAGGCCCTTAACGCATATTGCTGAATTGTCCTCTGGAAAAAGTTTCTGTTTATAATTCTATAAACTACACTTCATACAGTAGCATTAAGTCCCTAGACTGCCAGCCCCACTTCCCTCATCCTCTAGCAAGTGGTTAGATTTTGGATGTGGTTACTAATAGAAATACACTGTTTTGCCTATCAATAATTTTTCTTTCTGAAGTTCTAATCACTTATGAATGCTGTTTTCAGAGAGAGCCAATCATAGTCCTGAAAGGTGTAATCCTGAATGTTGAAATCCTGAAAGATTGAAATCCATAAAGTCTTAAAATCCTGAAAAATCACAGTCCCCAAAGATCAAAATCCTAAAAATCTAATGGAAAAAATAATTTTAAAATGAAATAATTTACATTTTTAAGAAGGAATTTATTTTAGAATCATAAAAACATGACAGTGCTTCATTGGCTGCTTGATACAAAATAAGCAATACTAAATAGCATACATAGTTTTACAAGCATTTGCAAGCACAAACACCCAGGTATATTACATGACAGATATAACATATGGACTAGTATGAGCATATGAACTGTATTTATGAAGAAATAGGTCATAAGGAAGTGCATAAACACCTGTCACTATGGTTGCTAATTGTGTGCACCCCTCTATAACTGTGGGTCATCTGCAGTACCATGATAACCTCAGTTTTTTGACAAGATTGATTAAAAAACCATAATGGATCACCACCACATATGCAGTCTTCCAGAGGTGAGATCTCAGGAAATTTTATCTTTCACAAATACAGATGTATGAAAATGACATCTCTTCATTTGTTGAACAGTTTCAGTGTTTTTACATACATGCACAATGCTTACAAAGTCAACATTGTGATAATGCACTTTTGTGAAGTCAAGTTTGGAAAACATGTATAAAACAAATTAGAGCCCCTTAAGTCTCTACATAATTTATGCCTCCAGTGTTGGAAATGATGCAAAGGTGAAATACATAGCATAGCAAATTGTAAAAGATAATGCTGACAATTTAAAATAGTGGAAAAGGAAACTGAAAAAAGAAAAAAATCAGCTGAGTGCTGTGACTCACGCCTGTAATCCCAGCACTTTGGGAGGCCGAGGTAGGCGGGTTGCCTGAGCTCAGGAGTTTGAGACCAGCCTGGCCAACATGGTGAAACCCTGTCTCTACTAAAAATACAAAAATTAGCCAGGCGTGGTGGCGGGTGCCTGTAATCCTAGTTGCTTGGGAGGCTGAGGCAGGAGAATCAATCACTTGAACCTGGGAGGTGGAGGTTGCAGTGAGCTGAGATCATGCCAGAAAACCCAAAATAACAACAACAGTGTAGGGCTGTTGGGGCCCCACAGGGTCGTGGTGTGTCCCTTATGCTGTGCTGAGGTGCGGGATCCGAGAAGTAAAGAGATAGGACACTGAAGAACTGGTGAAGAGCATCTGGATTTGGGGGGCCAAATCCAGATGGCCATTTGGGAGGCCACGCAGCCTGTGAGCGGAGATCAGTGATAGCCCAAGTGCCCAGAAGCATCTGTATTTATTAGGTACAAGCAGGGGGCAGGGTCGTAAGTGAGGTCATCATCTATAGGCTTAGTAATAGGGCATACATAATCACGTGAGTCACAAGCGAGGAGGCCACCCCATTATGTCACTTGGGCAGAGAGGTGGGTCGTTTGCAGTGTTGGACCGTGCCATGCACAGTAGTAGAGGGTCATGTACAGAAGAGGGGTCCACCCTCATTAGGTCACTGAGGCAAGGAGGTGGGCTGTGTGTAACAGGTGTTGTGTGCAATACTTCTTATCTGGGAGCTGGAGACTTCAAAGGATTTCTGATAGTAGGATACTGTAAGCCAAAGCAGTGGGAGCTGACAGACTTGTGCTCTTCTCTTAAAATATTTATGGGAGGATGATTTGAGTTAGCACAGAAGCCAGAAAAGACTGACAGGGTGTACAGCTGCCGTGACTGGTCACACCGGAGGGGTTCTTCCTTGGTTATTTCCAGGATCTCAGGCCTGAGGCCTACTTTCCACAGGAGCTGGATACAAGGTACTACAACTCCTTTATCAGGAGGACAGGCTCTTGCTCCAAGCCTGCCATACAGTGTATGCCCTTTCAGGCAGGGATGCCACCACCTGAGTCTTTGGTTCTTGTCCTGGTCTGGCTGTTTTCCCATGTACTGCGTCTGTTCTGTGACTGCTCTAGGCATTCCTCCTACTACAAACTACTATATGGTTATATGGATGGATTATATAAATCAGCCCTAAATGTGTTAGTACAGCTCCGACTACAATACCTATGCGATTATATAGAAATATTATATAGAACTAAGTATGCTGTATATATATAAGCTAGTATAGTAAGTACTAAGTTATTATATGATTATATAGAAAGATTATATGGGACTAAGTATGATTATATATATACGCTAGATATAAGTAAGCAGTGAGTTATACTTCAGGCACTCATTGTGCCTGGGGTCTGCACAGTTCTCCTTCCTTGGTGCCCCTGAGGGGTGTTACCCACAGGCGTGGTGGCAGGTGCCTGTAATCCCACCTACTTGGGAGGCTGAGGCAGGAGAATCAGTCACTTGAACCTGGGAGACAGAGGTTGCAGTGAGCCGAGATCATTCCAGAAAACCCAAAATAACAACCACAAAAAACCTAAAAAGAAAATATGACTTGAAAACATATATTACAGAGATGATAGATGATGGACAATTGCATGGAGATGGACCCTAAAAGCCGGCTGACTTTCTCGATCATTAAGTATTATTTGAAGTCTTGCATCATGATGAATAGCTGCTTTCATTCTTTAAGAACATAGCTATCAGAGGATACGTTCATTTTCTTTGTGGCACTGCTCTTTTTGGAATTCTGTGATTTGATGTACACTGACAAGAACATTCCCCATTAAATTTTCCTATCCTGTGATTGTGATTTTCAGGAGTTTAGACTTTAGGGATTTTGATCTTTAGGGATTTGAACATTTGGGATTATGGCATTTGGTATTGTGACTTTCAAGATTATGATCTCATTCTGTTTGCAGAGCATTGGGGGCAATGTGGATGTTTGCCTTGTTTTAGGGGTGCAGAAGGTGTTTAGGTGTTTATATATTTGAATAGGGCTTTTTTTGGTGTGTGTGTACATCCTATCCTGGTAATCTCTTCCTGATGTTTATTTCTAAATAAATTCCACATTGAATTTTTTTAAGGGTATTGGGACAGAGTATTAGTAAGTGTATGTGATATCTTTAGTTACTTAGACATTTTCCCATTAGACCTTCACTTCTTAGAGATGCTACAGGTGGCGAAACTTTAATTTTATTTGATTTCTTGTGTTCATCTTCTGGCTCTCTGATAAAAATTATGGGGAACTCTGGAAACCAACCTAGAGGTAGTTAGAGAAGAAAGAAACTAATTACAAATTACATCAGCCTGGACAAATCACATTGTTGGAGTTTCCCAAATAGAGTATTTGTGCATTAATTATGGCAGATACCTGAAGCTATTCCAAAGAGAGTAAAAGTAAGACTTAAGCCTTGTCAGAAGCTCATTGAATTCCACTTTAAAGTGGAATTCTATAAATACCAGCACTCCCTCCCAGGTATTTTATATGTTTTGAATACCTTAGTCTTTTCTCCAAATATTATTAGTGAATTTTTTGTCTTATTAGGTTAGCAGGACTCTCCCCACCCCACTACCATTTTGTCTTTTTCCCCACTTCATCTTGTGTCCATTCATGTAACCCTCTTACAGCCAACATGTTTATTATCTTCAGCTTATTTTATTTTATTTCATTTCATTTCATTTTTTTTAGGGATGGCATCTTGCTTTGTTGCCCAGACTGGAGGGCAGTGGCATGATCATAGCTCACTGTTGCCTTGAATTCCTGGACTCAAGCAGTCCTCTGCCTTAGCCTCCCAAGTAGCTGGAACTGTAGGCGCTCACCATCAGACTTGGCTAAGTAAAAAAAAAAAAAAAAAAAAATTCTGAATGGATGTTTAAACTTTTTTGAAAGAAAGGATTTTTAGAAATGGAGTCTCACCATGTTGCCTAGGCTGGTTTTGAACTCCTGGGCTCAAGCGATCCATCTCATCCTCCCAAAGTGCTAGGATTATAAGCATGAGCCACCACACCTAGTGTTGTCTTCTGCTTTTGTTTGTTTGTTATTTGAGACACAGTCTCTCACTTTGTTGACCAGGCTAGAGTATAGTGGTGCAACCATAGCTCACTGTAACCCCAAACTCCTGGGTTCAGGTGATTCCCCCCTGATTCAGGTGATCCCTCATGGCTCAGTCTTGTGAGTAGTTGGGACTACAGGCACGTGCCACCGTGCCTAGGTAATTTTCTTGTTTTTTTTGCAGAGATGGGATCTCTACATATTTTGTAGAGATAGGGTCTGCTGTGTTGCCCAGGCTGGTCTGAAACTCCTGGGCTCAAGTGACCCTCCTACCTTGGCCTCTCGAAATGTTGGGATTACAGGCATTAAGCCACTGCATTTGGACAGTTGGCTGCTTTTGCTTCAGATCGGTTTGAATAACTTTTATTATTGTTACAAATAAAACCGACATTTTGTTCCAAATCACTAGCTTTCTGAGGTTTTTTTCCCCACATTTACTAAAATGTTACTAATTCTGCCTGTCACTAAAATATTTTTTGGCCATCCTTTTTCATAATTCTTTAGAACACATTTCATCCGCATGCTCACCTTGGCAGCACATAAACTAAAATTGGAATAATACAGAGAAGATTAGCATGGCCCCTGCGCAAGGATGACACGCAAATTTGTGAAGCATTCCATATTTTTAAAAGCTATTTACGACAGACCCACAGCCAATATACTGAATGGGCAAAAACTGGAAGCATTCCCTTTGAAATCTGGCACTAGACAAGGATGCCCTGTCTTACCACTCCTATTCAGTATAGTATTAGAAGTTGTAGCCAGAGCAATGAGGCAAGAAAAAGAAAAAGGGGTATTCAGTTAGGAGAGGAGGAAGCCAAATTTTCTCTGTTTGAAGATGACATGGTTGTATATTTGGAAGACCCCATCGTCTCAACCCAAAATCTCCTTAAACTGATAAGCAACTTCAGCAAAGTGTCAGGATACAAAATCAATGTTCAGAAGTCACAAGCATTCCTATGCACCAAAAATAGACTAACAAAGCCAAATCAAGAGTGAACTCCCATTCGCAATTGTTACAAAGAGAATAAAATACCTAAGAATACAATTAACAAAGATTGTAAAGGACCTCTTCAAGGAGAACTACAAACCACTGCTCAAGAAAATAAGAGAGGACATACTAGATGGAAAAACATTCCATGCTCATGGTTAGGAAGAGTTAATATTGTGAAAATGGCCATACTGCCTAAAGTAATTTATAGATTCGCTATCCCCATCAAGCTACCAATGACCTTCTTCACAGAACTAGAAAAAACCACCTTAAACTTCATATGGAACCAAAAGAGAGCCCTCATAGCTAAGACAATACTAAGCAAAAAGAACAAAGCTGGAGGCAACATGCTACCTGACTTCAAACTATACTACAAGGCTACAGTAATCAAAACAGCATGGTACTGGTACCAAAACAGAGATATAGAGCAATAGAACAAAACAGAGGCCTTGGAGGCAATGCCACACATCTACAATCATCTGATCTTTGACAAACCTGACAAAAAAAGCAGTGGGGAAAGGATTCTTTGTTTAGTAAATGGTATTGGCAAAACTGGCTAGCCATATGCACAAAGCAGAAACTGGACCCCTTCCTGACACTTTACACTAAAATTACCCCAAGATGGGTTAAAGACTTAAGACCTAACACCATAAAAACTGTAGAAGAAAACCTACGCAAAACTATTCAGGACATAGGCATAGGCAGGGACTTCATGACCAAAACACCAAAAGCA